CCGAGCATCGGATCTCGGTATCCCCTCAAAAGGTCTGATCCCAAAAACGCTTGTTCCGAAGTTCCCAACCGCTATCCAATCTCAGAGGGGGCACTGCACATCTTGGGTCTCTGGGGGGTAGGGGTACAAAAGCCAGGGGTCTGCAACAGCCCTTGAGGCGGGGCCAAACTCGCTCGATCGCTCGACGCACTGCGCATGCACCTACATTGCAGGCGGCGATTCGTGCAGCTTCGCGTGGCGTTGTCTTGAGCAAACTTCCGATTCCCATTAGCACGCGAGGGTGTGCCGCATGCAAGATACACCAATCTTCCGGACATTGTGCTGCCCTTTTGACAGCTCGTTTTCCCGTCAGTTCTTTGACCTCGGTGACCTCACCCGTCGAAATCGAGGCAGGATGGCTAAGGTACGAACTGCTGCAGTAGACGTTGCATCAGCCCTTCCAACCTTGGCACTCTGCACCGATGGTGCGATCATGCAGGACTCAAGAGACACACAAGCTATTGGGCAGAGCTGTAAATGCTCTTTCAGGTCGTGGTGCGTCGCCGGCCTCGCTCGCATGGCATGAGATGTGGCGCAGATGCGGCAGAGGCCACTGGTCTCAACGGCTGCCAAACGAACTACAGAAAGAAGGGTAGTGTTCAGCAGTGGCCAAGGGACAATCGTTGCATAGGTTTACTAGCCAGTAGACGGCCTCGCTTGCCGCGCAACAGTTGCCAGAAACCGAGTGCGCTCAGACGTGGCCAAGAGACATCACTTAGTCATGGTCGCCCTGCCTTCAATTTTGCGTTGCCAGTGTGAGTTTCCGCGCTCGCTTCATGGAGCCCGTTTGTCCATAGCGAAGTCTGTGCAGCGGCGCAGTGCTTCCGACGCACTACGTCACTAGGGCGACTAGCTCAACATGCTGCGCAGAGAGCGTGAGAGTGGCTTCTGCTCACTTGCAACAGTGGTGTGTGCACCGTCGCATGGCATCCTGACAGAACTAGGGTCGGCGTTCTTCTGTGGGGCACGCTTCCTTAAAGAGGCGAGCACGTGTGCACCCGATTGGTCAAGCTTGCTTGGCCGTCGGTTCGATGAACGGTATTAACGCATTATTGTTGGCACGTCACAAAGCACAGCACAAGCCGGTGTTCGCATCTTGTCAGTTCAAGACCAAGTGACCTACTTGACTGGGGTCTGCTATCTGTGAAGCTGCGCGGCTTACCGCCAGAGGTTTACAACAGTGTACAATGAGAGGTGCTTCGGGGCAGTTTCGCAAGCAGCTTAAAGTCACGGGGCTTGCTCAGAAGAACATGGTCACCCTGCCCAGCGCTTTGTACTGCCGATGTGTGATGCTGTGTGAGTGTCCGTGCACGCTCAGTGTCCACAGCCGAGCGTGTGCCGGCGATACTTCCTGCACTGTCCGGCGAAGGATGGAGAGCGTCTAGCTCGACACAGTGCTCGAGAGTTTCTTTTGTTTGCTTAACATGCCGTGCCGAGAGAACCGGTCGCAGCAGTTGCCAAAACCAAGTGTGCTGAGGTGTGGCCAAGGCACGCTCGATTTATTCTGCCCATCTGTCCACAGCCAAGTCTGCGCAGGTGCCGCATGTTGAGGTACGGTGCTTGCGATGCACGAGGGCGACTAGCTCAAAACGCTCAGTTCTTCTGTGGGGCACGCTTCCTTAAAGCGGCGAGCACGTGTGCACCCGATTGGTCAAGCTTGCTTGGCCGTCGGTTCGATGAACGGTATTAACGCATGATTGTTTTCGGCACGTCACAAGGCACAGCACAAGCCAGTGTTCGCATTTTGTCAGTTCAAGAACAAGTGAACTACTTGACTGGGGTCTGCTATCTGTTAAGCTGCGCTGCTTACCGCCAGAGGTTTACAACAGTGTACAATGAGAGGTGCAGAAGCCGGGGCAGTTTCGCAAGCAGATTAAAATCAAGGGGTTTTGCCCAGAAGACATTGGCCACTCTGCCTTTGTTTGTACTGCTGATTTGTTCTGATGTGTGAGTTTCCGCGCACGCTCGGTCAAGCCATTTTGCCCACAGTCGTCGAGCGTTTGCCAGCGATACTTCCTGCCTGTGCATTGTCTGGTGAAGGATGACGTAGGAGCTCGTATAGCTCGACACGGTGTTCAAGAGTTTTTGTTTGCGTGCTTAAAATGCCCTGCTAGTCGCTTTGGCCGTCGCCGGCGGCTACGGCGTTGCAAACGGAAACGTTGACATGCGGAAGCAATCTTAGGGGACCGGTCGCAACAGTTGCCAGAAACCAGGTGTTCTTCGACGTGGCCAAAAGACATCACTTAGTCATGGCCGAACTGCCTTCAAGTTTATGTGGCCAGTGTGTGGGTTTCCGCGCTCGCTTTGTTGAGCAGCCCGTCTGCCCACAGCCAAGTCTGCGCAGGTGCCGAATGTTGAGGTACGGTGCTTGCGATGCACGAGGGCGACTATATAAACACGCTGAGATCAAGAAAAGAGCGGCTTCTGCTCGTCGCATGGCATCCTGACAGAAGTAGGGTCGGCGTTCTTCTGGAGGGCGCACTTCCTTGAAGAGGCGAGCACGTGCGCACGCGATTGGTCGAGCTTGCGTGGTCCTCGGCTCGATTCACGGTATTAACGAATTGTTGTTCGCATTCTGTAGACTAAGTGCTCTACTTGACTGGGGTCTGCTATCTGTTGAGCTGCGCTGCTTGCCGCCAGAGGTTTACAGCAGTATACAATGAGGGATATGAGAGGTGCAGAAGCCGGGACAGTTTTGCATTCAACTTAAAATCAAGGGGTTTTGCTTTTGCTCAAAAGACAACGGCCACTCTGCCTAGCGCTTTGTACTGCGGATGTGTGATGATGTGTGAGTTTCCGCGCATGCTCAGTCGGCTTCTGTCCGTCGAGTCTGTGCAGGTGCCAATTGTGCCGCCTTTTCTCATTTCCCTACGCACGAGGGCAACTGGCTCATTTGCTCTGAACCCTGCACGGAGAGCCTCCCCTTCTCACGTCCGAAAATGGAAAATCCAGCGTCGCGCCGTGTCCAGATGCTTTGAGCACAGTTTCCGTTCCAAGTGGAGCAGTGATTCGGTTGCAACGATTGTAGCGGCACAGGTGCCCTAGCACCTAAACATTTCCTGACCCTGAACCCGAAATCCTAAAACTTAGAACTTCACAAGTGGGTAGAGCTTCCAAAACTCAGCACTTGGGCAGACAGTATGGTTGGGACTCTGCTCTAATCTTGGCCCAGGCTGTCCAAAGGAACTCCTTTCTCAAAACGCCTTGGGAGGGGGTGTGGGTTTAGAGTTGGGACCCTAGAATTGAGAAGTACTTCTACTACCAGGCTCAATAGGATCACTTGCATTCTGAATGAAGGTCCTCGAGCCATCGCATGGCGCTTTAGAGCCGAGCTTTCGGGCCAACCTCGCAAGGGGCTGAGATTCCTGAGCACTCCAAGCTGCGAGGACGAGGCACTTGCTTGGCCTCCTTGCCTCGGCCCTGTCATGAAAGCCATGAAAGCCCTAGACCCTAAAAAAACCCTACTAAACCCTAAAACCCTAAGCCCTAAACCAGAACTCACCAGACCATCCTTGTGAAAGCAGCGGCGGCCCCCGATGTCCCAGCTTCTCGGCGCACGCAGCTGGAAACTCCACCTCAACCCCGCGGGAGGGCCTTTGGGGTTTAGCCACGCCTGGCTTTCAGCTTAAGTGCTACATGAGTATTACATGAGTGCTATCATGTGCTATGTAGCGAAAAAGGGGCCCAGCTTAGGGCTTCCCTCACCGGGCTTGCGGATGCGGAGAGTTGGGCTGGCCCAGCTCTTGCCATGTCACCTGGAGCCCACGTCCTTGTCCACGTGCTTTTCGTTCCGTGCAACCCGGGTCTCAGGATTCCGAGGCCTGCTCCCTGCGATCCATGCCAGCAGAGACGATACAGCTTGACCTCGCCATGTGAATCCAAAGCTCGGCCTTGGCACGCCGCGGGGCGTACGATCATGGCAGCCCGACCTCTGCTCCCGAAGCCTTTCTTTGAAGAAGGATTTTCGAGGCTGGTTTTCTGAAGGCAGTATCCTATCCCCAAGCTCGCCCTGTAGATGCCCAGCCTGGAATGTAGGGAGTTCCTGGTTGGCCTCGCCGTTCCGAGTTCCAAAGAGTGCCAGGTATTGGCGTGGACAAGGACGGAACATGAGAAGATAAAGGTGCGAAGTAACTCTTGAATTATTGGGTATTAGGTGCAAAGCGCAAAAGGGAGGGGAGGGGGGAGGGAGGAGGGGGGGAAGGGGAGGGAGGGGAGAGGGTGGGAAGGGGAGGGAGGGCACCAACGTTCTGTCCGTATCCCCTTACTTCAAAAAACCGCCCAAAGCTCGCATGATAAACCTGTACACCCCTAGCTGGACGTGTGGCAAAAGAACCTTGAATTATACGTTTCTCAAAAGTTCAGGGCTTCGTATGCCGCATCTGGCAGTGTTCATCCAGGCACGTCAGAGGACTCCCGGTAGAAAAGCGTTGTGGGGCATGGGGCCTAGCCCTCTTGGCTTTGGTATGCCGCTTGACATGTAGTTCTCCCGGCGCCATAAGACCATGAAGACCCACTATAAACAAACACAACGTAGGAAGAAGGTCACGAAGGACGGTCTCGTGACATCTCCTAAATCCCGAATCATCTTGACTTGACATGGAAGAAGTCAAAGTCATGGTGTGCCCATGCTTTGCCCGAGCCGTGCGCGCGTAGCCATGGGCGTTGTTCCCCCATTCGCTGAACTGCCCTAAACCGTAAACCCGAGACCCTAAACCCTAAACCCTAAACCCTAAACCCATGCAGAGAGCAGCCGTTGCTCCGACTCTTCCTCTCGGGATGGACTTGGCGGAGCTGGAAGTTGCGTGCGCGGAGATGGGCATCGGCTTTGAGGAGGAACACCCTAAACCCTAAACCCCCTAGCCCTAAACCCTAAACCCTAAACCCCCTAGCCCTAAACCCTAGACACCCTAAAAGCCCTGGAGGAACACCCGGGGCTGTCTGCGACCCAAGTTGGTCTGGCCATGGATGCTCCAGAGGAGATCTGGGAATATGAGCCTGCGTTTGGCATGACCAAGACTTTCAGGATCGAGTCCAGAAACTAGGTAGGCTTTTGGGACATTTTATATTCTCCTTATTGGGTTTTTAGAGGATCATATTCAGGAATATGTTTCAGAGGGTTTAGGGTTTAGGCTTTAAGGGCCATCCTAGGAAAGTACTCCATCGTGGATGAAGAGATCGTCCGGGGCATCTCTCTGCGCAGATCTCTGTCGGGATGCGCACGGGTCTGGCGCTACAAGCCGGCCACCTGGAAGCCGGAGTATCGTGCTGCCTTGTACCTATATCCCCCTTGGTAATTGTGTTTTTTTATTTTTTATGTAAAACCCAAGAGAAGGTTAATGTTGTTTTTTATTAAGGTTCTAAGGGGAGTATAGGTACGAGCTCTCACGGAACGTGGCGTTCTTCGACGTATTCCTTTCACACACGTGGCAGACAGCCGGATGGCATAAGATGCTGGCTCTCTCCTTCCAGTGCGGCTGCTGGAACACTCTTGCCCTCTGGTGCGTTGCGGAAATCACGGCTATGGCGCTGTGTCTCACGGACGTGCTGCCGATGCCCTTTGTGTACGAGGCAAATGTCATGGGCTTCACCCAAGAGCCTTTGCCCGTGTTGTGGCAACACTCCTAGTGTGCAAGCTGTAGTTCCCTCCCCAACGATGGTTTAGGGCCGTTTAGGGTTTAGGATTTACAGTAGGGTTAGGGTTTAGGGTTTAGGGTTTGAGGTTTAGGGTTTAGGGTTTAGCACTGGCCTCAGTTCCAGTCTTATTCAAAGGGTTTAGGGTTTAGGGCCATGGCTCAGGACTGTCCCATGGGCCTCTGGACTATCACCTTTGGCTCCCTGGCCCTTTTCCTAGGCTTGCTCCTGACACCCTACCTGCCGGACCGCTGCAGTCAGTCTGATGTGGGCTTCATCGATGTCGCCAGCATCGATCAGCAGGACCATGAGTGAAAGAAACATATATCTATAGATTCATATACTCCTCAAGAATTGGGTTGTAACAAACAGAAGGACAGAGTGTTGACAGGAAAAGTATGGGTAAACAGCCCGGAACAGAACATTGCGATTGGGAATCAGCAGCAGTGATGTGAACGGGAATCTCCTTGCATTATGGCCGCCTAAGCCGCCACAGCAAGCCACGGCAATCCACTCCAGCCCTAAACCCCTAAACCCTCAGCCCACGACGCGAAACCAGCAGAATCCCATCCCGAATTGACTTTTTTTGGCTCAGCCGCCCTTGTGCAGCAGGCAGTCAACAACAACAGTCAGAACCCAAAGCCTGCGTCCTAAAACGCAATGAGCCCTTCCCAACCAGAGGGTCCATTCATCGTACAGTCTTGCAAATAGGTATCGACCGCCCCAGTAAGGCATACTTCCGGCACTCTTTAATCGCACTGTACATGCACCCTCCGGCTGTACCAACGAATGCAAGGGAACAGCGCCGACACAAGTGCCGCAAATTGAGAGCGCCGAAATGCTCAAGCTTCTTTTAGAGCCCTAAAACCCCAGACGGGCGGCAAAGAACCCTCAAGAATTTTTGTTGCAGTCTCAGGGAATAGTTTTTAATTTTTGGGGTACTAGAATTCCGAAGAAGCAGCTAGAATGGTAACTTTTTGCTAGGCTTCCAAGATCAGCACAGGGTTTAGGGTTGAGGGTTTTGGGTTTAGGGCTCAGGGTTCAGGGTTTAGGGTTTAGGGAACCTGCCAAAACCTTGAGGACCCTCGGCTGATGGAGCGAGGCATCTACGGCATCGCCGGATTCTTGAGCGTTTCCTCGGAGCTGCGCATCCTCTGGAGCTCCCCATACCTGTCTGGGCCTTGGTTTAGGGTTTAGGGTTTAGGGTTTAGGGTTAGGGTTTGTAGAGTTTGTAGGGTTTGTAGGGTTTGGGGGTTCCTGAACCGTGGCAAACACGACCCTAAAACCCTGAACCCTAAACCCTAAGCCCTAAGCCCTAAACCCTAAACCCTAAACCCCAAACCCTAAACCCTAAGCCTTTTTACAAGGCTCAGGGCCTGCACAGTCTGGCACCCTTTCTGCCAATGCACGTTGAGGTCTCGCCTTTGGTGCGTTTTCGAACTTGCAGCATACAAGAAGGCGCGAGCATGTCAAAATCCCCAATTTCCATGTCTTTCTTGTTCAGCACACCCTAAACCCTAAACCCTAAACCCTGTCTCCCCAACAAAGGTTTCAAGGTTGCAGGTAATGCCCCCAAAGTCCCGGAAGGTCAACCCGAGGGGCATCATCAGCTTCCGGCCACTCTTCGTTGAGACTTGGTTAGAGCTGGCTGATTTAGGGTTTCGGGTTTAGGGTTTAGGGTTTAGGGTTTAGGGTTTGGGGACAACTCGCTAGTGTCTCAGGAAACCCCCAAACAAGAGCATATTTCCTTGCTGAAGCTAATAATCGACGTATACGTGCCTTTTCTGGTGCCAACACGAATCTGACCAGAACACATGTGCGAACTCCTGCCCAAGCATTGCACCTTCTTTTGCCCAAGGCAAAAATACGTCAGTATGCCGAAAAGCCATGAACTCCAGGAGAGGATCATGCTCGTGCTGATGATCGCTTCAGTGGTCTTTGGTTTCTGCGTGGTTCTGGCCAGGCACCAATTCCATGCCACCAAGGGTTTTAGGGTTTAGGGATCAAGTCATACATGCCGCTTATTCTGGTATCCTCTCCCAGTCCACAGGCAAAAACAAGTTGTAGGGTTTAAGACGGTTTAGGATTTGGGGCACATCTGGGCTTGGCTTAACCCTAAGCCCTATTTGTAAACCCTTACTTGGGCTGTTTAGTCGGGGGATGTTTCTGAGACATCCAACAAACCCTAAACTCTAAACCCTAAACCCTAAACCCTAACCCTAAACCCTACACCCTCAAGCACCCTGTAACTTGAAATTATTAAGAAAAATCTAAAAAGCGAAACTCCTTGAAACTCCTCGAAACTTCCCCGGACCTGAACCCTTAATAATTTCAATAAATCCTAAACCCTAAACCCTAAACCCTCCCAAAAGCCCTGCAAGGTCGGGCACCGGAGGGAGTGGCATGCTCTACCTCACCTACGTCGTGTTCGTGGTTCCTTACGGGCTTTCGGCAGTCCTGCTGAGGACGGCGGGAGCAAGGGTTTAGGGCTTAGGGCTTAGGGTTTAAGGTTTAGGGTAGTTCAGCTTGCTCGGGGCTGGTGACATGTTTGCGGGTGGGACCCTTCAGGAGGAACTACCGAGAGAAGCACGCGCTGCTCCTGGGCTTCAAGGTTCAGGGGTGACCCTCGGAGCTCCTTTCAAAACTAAGCTGCGGGTCCCACCCCCTACTCCCCCTCGGCCTGTGGGGCCCCCAATGGCTACACCAGCTTTAGGGGTTGGGGTTTTTGATCCTCCCTTTTGGAGTGCAAGGTAGGTTTAACCCAGAACCAAAACCTCAGCACACGGAGCCCAGGCGCCGGGAAATGGAGCACTTCGACCTGAACCAGGTTGCATGCTCGACGGACTTTGATAGAGACTCGGCTGCATGGGGTGGGAATTTTATACTCTCCAAAGGATTGAGTCCTGTAGCGTTGCTGGGCATGGGCTTGCCGTCAGCCAAAATAGGGGGAGTAGCAGTTGCGCAGCAGCAGCAGCAGCAGCAACAGCAGCGGCAGGACCAAGAGAAGCAACAGTGGCGGCAGAGCAGCAGCACTACTCAAGCATTGTCGTCGTCGTTGTTGTCTTTTCTGCGGCCGTCACAGGCCATTGGCAGGGGAACTGCTCTGCTCAGGCACAAGCCAACTTTCACCCTGTCTTGCGCGCAGTTGCCAGCTAAAGATTCACAAAGCGAATGTTTGTGCCTGTTGTGTTTTTTTAACTAGATTCGGGCGCTTGAGGAAACATGAGCAGTCATGAGCAGATTCAGTTTTTTGTTTTTTCGTCTTGAAAAACTGTGTGTGTTTAGACCTGCCGCCTTTCACTTGTTGCTCTGGCGTCCAGTTGAGCACCGAGTCCATTTCCAAACCATCGTGAAAATGCTCATTCATAGCTCAACAATAACCCAGGTAGCTCTGTTGCGCCACACGAGCTTTGAACCTGTTCAGCCAGTCTGTATCGGTGGTATGGTCGCAAATGGAAAATCTTCAAGACTAGTTGACTACGCTACTTGCCTAATGCCATTGCCCTGTCCTTCACGAACCGGACTGGCGCAGCTGCAGTGCAAGTGCTAAAGGGCTTAGATCTTCGAAGTGCAAGTGCCAGTCCAAGGGACACTATATGACACTATACATGCCTCGCGAAGGGTATGGTGAAGGTGACACAGTGGCCACAGAGTGAAAGTTAAGTTCGCCTGAACGCTCCAAGCAACAGCATCGCAACGAAACGCCAGCTACTGCAAATTCAGACTCACCGGATATTTCTTGGCCTGGCAAATCAGCTTGGTCTAGCCTTTTCCTGTCTTTCTCTCCGGTCAACATGACAACGACGACAACTTGACCCTTGAAGCTTGCCATTACAGGCTCCTATATGTGGCTTATGCCTTCGAAAAACTGAACCCCTGTCATGACCCACGGGCGAGAGTGTGCGTGGCTTTGGGTAGAGCGTTTGCTGTGGCTCTTCTGCAGCGAGGACGATTCATCCATGCAGCGATCGAGAAGTGGTATGGGAGTAAGGACAATATGAAGCTTTTGTTTCATAATTCTTGCATGTTCACAGCCGTGAGCGCCCCAGTTTTCCTAAACCCTAAACCCCAAACCTTAAACCCTAAGACCCCACGTAAAGATGGACTGTGCAGGAGGCCTTTACAGAGCACGTGCGGCAGGATCTTCGACGTGAGCTGGAATCCAGCCTGGCAACCAGCTGCTTCCCGCTTCCCTACCTTCTCCTGTTCTTCGCGACTTTGTTGCTTAGCTGAAGGAGTGCACTCTAAACTTTTTGGGGATACTATAACTTATAGAACTGAAAGTGGCGGGGGGGGGGGGGGTTGGGGGGTTATGAACTGAGCAACTAAGGTTGAGTGCCAGCTTCGAATTCTTCTTGGCCCTATGGAAAGGTGGAGCACCACTTGAATGCTTACTGTCCTTTGCTGTCGGAATCCTTGTTGGAATGGACATCTTTGTGGGTGCTGCCTGCATTGTGCTGATGACGCGCCTGTGCGATCGCTTTGCCCCACGTCGCTTCGGACACTTCGACCATCTGCAGACGTTCGTGATCCTTGGAAGGGATTGAGTAGCATTTTAATACGTAGCCATAGAGAGCATGTATCTTGCTCTAGCTTTCTTCATCCTTTTCAGAACAGCTAAGGATCTTCCTGATTATAGTCACTATGTTTGGTGCCGGAAATTCCCTTTCCATTGCGGCCTATACTTACAGCCTGGAATACGCGCTTCTCTACGCGCCTGCAACTTACAGTCGAGAATTGTGTTTCACTTCTTGGGTCTCTTATTCCAGTTCGGAGTTTAGGGTTTAGGGGTTTAGGGGCTTAGGGTTTCCAATTCAGGTCAAGGGGATGAAGACTCGTACCCCTAAGGTTGCACCCCTAAAGGTTCCCCTGAATGTCCTCCGAATATGGCGCTTATGCTACCTTAGAGGATGTCAAAAAAAGGTCCCGAATATGGCCCTTATGCTACGTACCTTAGAGGATGTCAAAATGGTCCCCAAAACTCCAGGGTACAACAATGGTCCAAGGGTCGAGGCTACCCCTAAAGCCTAAACCCTAAACCCTAAACCCTATTGGAAAAAGCCCCAGGCGTTGGCCGCTTTCATAGTGTGCGTCTTCGTCGTGTGGCTTGACCGAGCCGCCGTGTGAACTCTTCTTCCAGGGGGTATAGGGTTTCGGGGGCTTTAGGGTTCAGGGCTTAGGGAAGTGTAGGGTTTAGGGTTGGTGAAGCCACCTTCCTCAAGTACTCACTTGAACAGTCCGACTAGTTCCTGTAGTCCAGTGTTTTCTGGGCAGAAGCCGTGCATGCAGAGTGCACGTCTTTTTTCCACTGCCCATGCCAACTGTCCCCTGGCCGACTCCGAAGCAGAAAGCTTGGCATGAGCCTGGTCATGGAGGGTTCTTAGTACAGGACGGAGGACCTTGGACAAATCCGACTAGATCCTGTAGCCCAGTGTTGTTCATATGGGAGAACCGAACCCTCCGAAGGGGGGGATACGCCACGGCTTCATCTCTATGTAACAGTGTGGTTCATGACCGTGCCTAGTGCCTAGCCAGCTCAGATGAAGTCGAAGATAAAATTCGCTCGTTGCGGTCCAAACACCCAGACCTCTTTGACGGGGACCCATTTTTTGTTGGCCTCTTTTTTGTTGACCCTTCCCCCCCCCCGTAAGATGGACACTTAAAGGCTATGCTACACGTGCGTGCCTTGTAAACAAATACTTTACAAAGGAAACACCCGCAGAATAGACGCAACGCACCCGCAGAATAGACGCAATGCACGCTTACATCAGCACACCGTGTCCCGGGCGGGGGCGCGGAGGGCGCGGAGGGCGCGCAGGGCGCGGAGGGCGCGGAGGGCGCGGAGGGTGCGGAGGGCGCGGAGGGCGAGGGCGCGGAGGGCGCGGAGGGCGCGGAGGGCACGGAGGGCGCGGAGGGCGCGGAGGGCGCGGAGGGCGCGGAGGGCGCGGCGGGCGCGGAGGGCGCGGAGGGCTCGGAGGGGCGTCCACGTGTCCCCACCCTTGCCCATCAGCGGAATGTCACCCCCCGAACCCGTCCGTCAACCTCCAGGCATGGTCCACGCCTCCCCACGCCACCCCTCTCCCAGCAAAATGTTCCGAACCCCCTCCCTTGACCGTGTCGTCTCCGCGGCCTCCCGTCAAAATGTTGACTGTCTCCTCTTCGTGGCCTCTTTCGCCACAAAGCGATCCGGTAGAACGCCTTCCGCGTTGAAGCGCCAAACGAGAACCCAAGAACAGAAAATTGGTTTTCGGGAAGAATCCAAGAAAACAAAAAGCACGCGCAGAATAGACGTTAAGCGTCCAAGGCACTCCCCCCCCCCCCCCCCCCCAAACCCCAAACCCCAAACCCTAAAAACCCCAAAAACCCTAAGAAACCTAAAAACCCTAAACCCTAACCGGCACTAGCCCACAGAACCCCCCCCCCTCCCCTACCCCCCCCAAAAAAAGGGGAAAAAAGGGGCCAAAAGAAAAGTCCACCCTCTTTGACCTCAAGCGAAGGCCTCTTCCGTGACTGGAGCGCCTGCCCAGCCCATGAGACTACTGACACTACGCCTTCAAAAAAGGGCCCGGAGCCCCCTAAACCCTAAACCCTAAACCCTAAACCTAAGAATCCATCCGAGGGCGCGCCCTGAAACGCCGCAGTGGCTTGATTTCACGGAAGCATTCACGGCTGAGCTGAGCCCTACACCCGCGACTCAGAGACTCAAAGGTTCTGATCTTCTTCTTCTTGTATATAGCCCCAAGTCGTTTGAAGCGGAGCGCGGACCTCAGTGCAGCCCGGATCCCTTCTGAGGACCGGATACCCCCACGCTTTGGGAAAGACCCCATGTTGCATCCATCCAGTTTTAGGAAGAAGGGTCAAGTAAAGAGCCGGAGCAAAGCCTAAACCCCCAACCCCCAAACCCCTGAGCCGTAAACCAAAAACGGAAGAATGCCCCCGGTGTGCTCTCAACTGAAATGCGAGTCGTCCAAGACGACTTGCCCGCTGTGACAAGGGCGAGCAGAACGTGTGGAAACAGATGGGGGGGGGGGGGGGGGGGTAGGGTTTAGGGCTTGGGGTTTTGGAAGCCCCCTCTTCAGATGTCTACAACTGATTACAACAGTACATGGGCTAAATGCTCAAGTTTGTGGCTGCGAGCCTGTAGTCCAGAGTTAAGGGATAAAGGGTTATTCAGGGTTTAGGGTATTATATTTACCCATGGAAAGAATGGACATGTCTAGATACGCATATCTTGCCGGGAAGTGCTCAAACAAAATTGGGTTCATGTGTCATTCCATTTGGTTTCATGTGTGGAGGCTAGAGAATGGTATGGTATAGACTGAAGAGGTTTTCCTTATTTTTCGTTTGGCTTATTGATATTGATGTCGGACGCCATGACCTCACCGGCAAAGTGAAGAAACCCACCATTGACCAACTTACCATTTGAAACAACCCGCCACCAACCAAACCACCAACCGTCCCAAGTGTCCCTTCACAAAGCAACAAAGTAGCCAAAATCTTCAGCCTTAAAAGAGCAGCGGCCCTCTTGGTGCTCCGCGTTGCGACCCCAATGCACTTGTGACCAACCCAGACTGGGAGGATTCCCCTTAAGGGTTCCTATGAATAACCCCATAGTAGTATAGGGTACTATTTGGGGGTTCTCTTTTTTGGATCCTCCCAGGGGTCTGGGTATGTTAAGCTTTAGGAGGTGGTTTCGGGTGGTTCGGAACCTGATATGAAATATACCCCGAGACCCGAGACCCCTTAACCCCAAACCCCTAAAAACTCCAAGCCCCTAAACCCTAAACCCAACCTGCCTCGGAACCGGGAAGAGGTCATGGAAGCCTGTCGGCAGAAGGTTCGAACTTCAGCCATTCCCTTTCAATTAACTGAAGCAGGAAATCGCCATGTTCAGCCGCAATAGCTTCCTTAAACAAAATCTTGTTGCTGGAACACCTGCTCGCACCAACTAGTTTTGGCTAAGGCTTCAAGCCTGTCGTCGAGGCCTTCTGGAGTTTCGGGTCGTTAGCTGGATTCTTCACCTATATCCCCCTTGGGAATTATCTATATATATATATACATATATACATATAACCCAAGAGGATATTGGAAATAATCTGTTTATTAAGGTTCTAAGGGGAGTATAGTCACTTCCAGCATTCGGACATGGAGATCGAAAGGTTTCCGAGCACAGCACGCTCGATTGATGCTTGCATGGCTCAAGGCCCACCTCGGTAGTAGTTATCTCTCTCTTCTTGGGTATTAGTTTTTTTTACATTTTTGTTATTACAAAACCCAAGAAGATATTAAAAATAGTAGTTTTCATTAAGGTTCTAAGGGGAGTATAGGTTATGCAGAGAGCCCCAACAAGCTGAAGTCTGAATCGCAAGCCACCCGCCCCAAAAGGATGCCCTAAGAGCGGGGGGGTTCTCCCAGACAGAGCCTAAACCCAAACCCGAAACCCAAAACCCCTGCACTCTCTCAGCATCCTCTTCGGCAAAGACTGGCCCAAAGGGCGACGGGCGAAACCGGGCCATGGCAGGTCCTGAGAGAAAACCCTAAACCCTAAAAGTCGTAGAGCTTAGGGAAGCCATAGCCTTCATAAAACCCCATACAAGGCCCTGAAAGCCCAAGATGCATCAGTTCTTGGAGTTGGACGAGATGTTCCATTCGATGTATGGGCGAGCTGCTGATCTCGACTCGCAGCCGACATGCCCGCGACCTGAGCCCATAGTGGCACCGCGCTTTAGTGAGCACACTGTAGAGTGTACAGGCTACGGAAGACAAGACTTGCGATGACATGGTTCAGAACAAATCAGTGGACTATAGTCACAGTACTATTGCGTCAAGGCCACCGACTGCTTGTGTTCCCCCCCCTCTACTTAATTACTGCATAACGTGAGCTTGTAGACAAGACGGGCGTGAAATCTCCCGATCTTGAGGCCCCAGTTGTATAGCATCCCTAGCGTAGGGCCAAGGTTCCCCTTCACAGTCGAGTGTTTCTTGTCACGTCACAGTACATGTGCTGCCTGAGCTATACTGGCTGTGCTGGTTCTTGATTGTTTCGGGCACGCCTTGAAGCAAGGGCCCAGAGATGTTTCATCCTCTGTGCAAGCCTACTTTGCCTGTACAGTATGTAAAGTTTAGCAGTACTCGTCTGACACGTTCGTCAACCTGTATATGCGTTGTGGCCATTTAGGGCCTTGAGCTAAAGCCAGTAGCTGTCCCCAATTGTTTGAACCCGAACACGAAAAAAAAAACAGTATAGTGCACCAGTCTGGTGGAGCACACGCAGCGGTTGCTGTGTTGGGTCCCATTCAGCGACAGGGATCCGGGTGTTTTCCGGCGTGATGTTACGCTTTGCACTTTGTGTCGTGGTGCCGCGCAATCTTGTGGATCCGCCACAGAATGGCTACAACGTGGAGTTCGCCGTGTTTCTGCGATGACCGTACATCAGGTAGGCAATGGTAGGCATGTTTGAATGGAGCGGAGATTGCATGATTCTGTTGGACCGTGGTGTTCCATTGCTTCCTGTCTGCGAGTTTCTGGAAAACTGCCCGTAGCTGATTGGTTTCAAAGCTCAGAATTCTGGTCGTGGGATGGGTGGACCATTCCTGCTGGAGGTCTCCTTCAGTGTCGTCTGCAGGGGCTTGCCGGGGCCTCCAGGGCTCCAGCACCCTACGCAATGCAGGTTTCGGGCTAGGGCTTCCTTGACTAACAGGATCAGGAACTGGACGCTTCGCCAGCCATGCGTGTGTGGGTGTAAGATGTAAATGGACAAGACGCCATTCATCAAAGCTCCCCGTGCAGCAACCAGCCTTTCGAACTCAAGCAACAACAGCCCATAATTCCCTCACAGAGCAGATGTGTTTGATTCAGAACATGTTCCGATAGGGCAGCGCTCAAAGCCGCGGCGTGACGCAGCACACGCTAATCCGGCAAAGCAACCACCAACGACAAGAGCAGAATTACAACAAAACAAGTGCACGTTCGCGTAAGATTGCCTATCCAAAGTTGAGCCATTTTGGAACCCATGGGCACCCTTGTGGCAGGCCGCAATTCAGCGGATGGTGTTTGTTTTTCAGTTTCATAGGGCTTAGGACGTGCGTCTCAAGTGCGAGGAGCCATGGATTTGGACGTCAGGCACA